GTGCCTGTTACATACACAGTTCACTCCACGTTTTTAAAGGAAAAATGAAAAGAAAGAAGTAAACGGATAATAAAAAATTAAAATCCAAAAGTCATGATTGCATAAATATATTCAATATATAAATCATTAGCTGTGGTAAACCTAAAATGAGAAACACCAAATTAATTAAATTGGACACAGATTAATTTAGGCACACAGACAGTGTGCCTAAATTAAGTAGGTACACTGTGTGCAATAATAGGGTTCTCGTGATTTCAAAAATAACAAAAAACAATCAGGAAAAGGGTATAAAATGTTTTAAATACTTTAAATATCTCTTTAAGCATTGTGAAGTATATCGTTGTGATATCACTGAGCATGGTGAAGTCGAAGGCACCCAGACACAGCCTGGATCAGTCTGTCCCTGATCAAACTGAGCAGCCAGCCAAAGATGAAACTGATCAGACATAACTCATAAGTTGAGTGGCTCAGGCAGTAGAAAAAGAACATTGATCAACAACATCCTGGTCAGTCCGCAAAGAGGAATTGTATGGAAGTGAAAAAGAAAAACATCTAAAATCCTGTATGGGGTTTTCCACAAAGCACTAAACTGATCTTGCAAACATACTGTATGCAAACTGTTTTGTGCTCAAACAAGACAAAATTAGATTTTTTGGTCTAAATACAAAGCAGTACATCTGATCCAAACCCAATACAGTACATCTCTCAGTCAACACCATCCCTGTGGTCAAGCATGGTAGAGGCAGTATTATATCACAGTTCTTCCTCTTGTGACCAAGGAACTGGGAAGCTTGTCAAGACTGATAGGAACATAAGTGAATCAAAGTACTGGCAAATCTTGGAGGAAACCCTGCTTCTGACCTAAAACTGGGGCACAAATTTACCTTCCAGCGAGCCAATGGAGTGTCTTTAATATAGGACAGTGAATGTCCTAGAATGCCCAGTCAATGTCCTTACTGTTGAGAATCTGAGAAAACATTTGAAAACAGCTGTTCATATGTGACCCCAAATAACCTGAGAGGGCAAAATCTGCACCAGACCAGTGTGTAAAATTGGTAAACAATAAAATAAGACTAATCTATTACACAGCACTCACATAGGAAAAGGCACTGAATATTCCTTGTGGGCTTTGCTGAACATAAAAAAATGCATTTCACCACATTAACTCCCACACACAAAACAGTTTCATGTCCCTGATCGAGCACAAGAGCAATAGATCAAAAGTCACCGTGAACCGGCATTACGTCATATGTATGAATGAAACAAAGGTCAGTTTTTGTTTCGGTAACACTCTGGGTGGTTTTATTGAGGTTGATAAGGAGATCTCTAACTGAAGACGTACACATGGAGTACTGAGGTGTGTTTAACAGACTTGTGTAGTGTCGGATTCCAATATCAACGTCCTATGTATGGTGGAAAAATCAAACCATTAAAACATAAGACGTAAGAGTATGTGAGGATTGTTAGAGTATATTTACTATCTATATCTATATACTAGTATATTTTTTACTAAAATATCGTTCTCTTGAACAAAAAATGTCTGATTCAAGGAACCATGTGAAATAAATTAAACACAGTAATGTGTATTAGACCTTTCCCTTTCTAAGAGAAAATGCTAAAATATAAATGGATGCAGTTACAGTATTCATTTGCAGTCAGCTGATTATTTTGTGGTATAAAATAATGGTTATTTTATGGTATACAACACTAAGACGTAAACCAACAGCTAAAGTCATATGTAAAGAACAACTATTGAGAGTAAATAAGAGAGAAACAGAATATATCTGGATGAATAAACAAGCAAAGCATAAAGACAGACTCTAAATATTGAAAATAAAATTTTCAATAGCATTTTGTTTCTCACGTCAACTTAGTACACGGATATTAAACAAAACAGTAAGCAAGTGAGTAACTGCTGCAAACTCTGTATTTTCCCTCTGCCTCAAGCTGGAATTTCCTAACATTATGAAAAGGCACAACAACTGAAACTCCAGTGGGCCTCCTCCTCTCCTCCTCCACTACAGAGGCCGCAACCCAGCAAGGCCACTAAGTTAAGAGCACATGCGCAGGCTTGTGGGACTGGTCTCATAGCAACAAGTGGAGCCATGCATCTCTGTGGGGCTGATTGCAAGTACAGGAGCCCATTACCTACTATCAATCTACCCTGAATCAAGTACTGCTGATCCCAGTCTCTGAGATGTTACACCCAAATTCATTTCATCATCATGTCCAGAAAAAGAGACTGTACAAGTGAAACACCTCTGCAAACACCTCTGCATACAGCAAGTCTTGCACCTCTCACACTTTTAACGATAAGTAAACTACTTTAAAACAATAATAGAAAATGTACTGCATACAGATTAATTTGTCTCTAAGACTTGCAGCTATATAAACAAACGAAAGCATACGACCAAAACTACTCGGCCTTACTTTACCGAATAAACCCCTTAAATTACAACATCGCTGAAACAAAAACAAATTGTGCAAATTAAAATGTGGTAAGTGTATACTTTTTCTTTCCCATCTTCATGATTCAGCCTTCAATCTGCATTTTAATTTAAAGGAAACTAGATCATAACCCATTTTTTTATCTCCCGTTTCACTTGATCATTCTAAATCACCTACCTACCGGAATTCTTGTGAAAACAACAATTTGGACACATATTCACTCATACATGTTTATATGTAAGGTTTCCGACATGCAATATTTTACAGCAAATACATATAATAACAAATGTTTACTATTTTCACTAAGAAACTACTGTAATTAATTCATATTCGCCTTGCCACTTAGTGCATACTGAATCTATTTTTTTAATCATCTCATAATCATCTCATAGTGAAAGTGCAAAATAGTATGAATCCAAGTGCTTTAACTTATTAAAGTGAATATTTTATAAATGCAAATGGTCACTCAAAACTTTAATATATTGGTTTGCCACGATAATTATACTACATAGTTTAAATTGCAGTTTATAATAATGTGTTTGGCCTAATCCAGACATCTTAACCACTTCAGGTACGTGGGCTAAATCACTTTAAACATAATCATGGTTGTTCCTTCAGATTTGAAAAACAAGAAAGACATAAAAATATATTTAATGATTCCTGCTTATCTTTCTTTACTAACATTCAGGTCATTTTATTTCAAACTTGAGCAGGTAACAAGCTTTGTCTCACTTCAAAGATTGAGGCTGTGTTTATAGTGTCAATATTAATATATCATAGAATTAGATGAGTACAGTATGGTTCAATAAACTCAAAGGTCTATATAATAGCACACAATATTCAAAAGCAGAAAGAAAAAAGACTAAGTAAAACCAACAAAAAGACTACATTACACATTAAATGCTTTGGTAAAAAGATAGTTGAGCACTGGACTGTACTAAAATTGAAAGGATCACAATAAATATCTTCCGCACAAAAAAACAGCAATGAACTCCAAATTCTTTCTCCAAAACACTTTGTGCTGCTTCACTGTTCTGTTCTTTAGCCCTTCAAGAGCTACAATGGAATTTTCTCCAAGAGAAGAATCTGAATACTTCCAGGAGAATTACTTATTTAAAGGTTATTTAAGATTCCCTTTCCTATGTGACTTAAATAGAAATTTTCTGTTTTACCAGTTTCACAGAAACCTGGTCCTAAACATGCCGAAGAGAGATTTTTTTGTATGTCAATTTCCTTTCTAAAAAATCAAGAAAATTCTTAAACCCTGTCATTCTGTTAAACAAAAATGTGGCAGCACACATGGGAAATGTGGAATTCACCAAATCATTCAGTACCATTAAAGCCCTCTTGGTTTTCAATATAATAAGTATAGGGGCTGCTGCAAAGCATCCTGTATTATTGTATGAGGGCCTGTACAGAGGCTTGACTACAGGCATTTAAATAGCAAAGTCAAAATCCACTAAATTACAAAAACTCAAAAAGAGTATTTGATCTGTGTTGTAGTTAACAGCATCTAAACATAATACCTAACCACATACCACATATTAAAAGTCATTAGAAAGTGTAAGCATATACTGTATACAGTAATCAACATTATCAAATGCAACTGTAATAAAAAATGTTCAGAACCATGTTCACTTTAAACACTTGAATAAAAATTCCTTAAGCGAGAATATGAACAAATACTTATCCATCGGCTGTAGTCTTCATTTTGGTTTGAAACTTTAACTAGATCTTTTTTAGAACTAAAGTGCGAATTCCACACCAAATTCTATGTGACCGAGTAGTGTGAACATGTATTTTTTTTTCTAAAATTCAGATCCACTGAGGCAAATCAGACCGGCCTGTGATACTAACCCCGCATATTCGTCTTGTAATAATAAACGCTTCATTAATCTTCTGTTGTCCTGTACACAACCCGCTTCCACAAAATGGAATAATCCTAATATTATTTACAGAGTAATCACAGAAGCTAGCACTGTAACCTTTTAAATGGGCAGTAGAAGTTCTAGATGTAACTAACCAGAATACGAAAAGGTCCCATCTCCTGTTACATCTCCTGTTATCTGCTCTTTAGCATAAGAGGCATCGCAGATAACTTTCCGCTGGAAATATTCATTTACGCACATATCCAGTTGCACAATGTAGTTTTAGGTCAGGATAACGTTAAAATAATTTGTTCCACGTATCAAGCGGCAGACCTTGAATGACAAATACATCGTTATTCTGTAGTTTATACTGTACACACTTAACCTTTTAAAACGATCCTGCTGTTGCGCGATTCTCAGATCTTCAGCTTTCGTTTTATTTAAAATACTTCAACGTAAAATATTAACATCTAATGAACACTTTCAATTACTATCGAATTCACCCAACAATAGTAATAATAATGCGGATGATGATGATGATGATGATGATGATGATCAACCGTCACATGTTGAAGCACGACATTTTAAAAAGCTTTATCATCATGGCCATTCATCAATACGAAAAAAAAAAGTGTATTTCAATCCAGAAACAAAACTACAGAAACGCGATTAGCTAGTGCTTACTTTTGCCTTCGTGCAGTCACCTTCCTCGCCCTCCCCGATACTCAGCCTGATGCTGCAGCTGCTTTCGCCGGCGCTGCCGCAGTTTGACTCAGCGGTGCTGTGCCTGACACTCACCCGGAAAACTCGCTCGATGTACGGGATAGAGCGCTGCAGCAATGGGCCTGCACTCGCGGGCGCTGCCAGCTCCAGAACCATTTATTATTAGAAATTAGCGACCCACGCAAACAAAGGCAGTTCCTGAGTTTAATGGGCGATTGCAGTCGCTGCAAGGGTCAAACACTTTAAAAGGTGAGGACATTTAAGCTTCTTTTTTTCCCGAGCAGCGTTTCGGCAAAATTTTCTCCTGCATCCTTTTCCTCCATCATCCTGCCTCCCACAGACTGTCTCTTAGCAACAAGTCTGCCGCCCCCTGTCGCCAGTACTGAAGACAACAAACCTCGCAATCCAACAAAAGACTCCAAACCATTTAATGCTGTTTCATAGGGCCTCTACCAGGTTCCCTCTGTTCTTTGACGAGGAAGTAGTAACCTTCTTGGTATGCCATTTGAAAATTATTTAGTACTAAAAATTAAATGAAATGAGTACTGTTATGAAAATTCTAGCTATACAGCTATTATGAAGAACCTAACATAGTCAACTGTGTTGCAAGGGTTATCGCCTTCATTCTTTGCCTACCAGCTGTTGGATAAAGGCCTACTCAAGAGTCTTCAACAATGTCCTTGGCCTAGTTGCATTAACAGACTTCTTAATTTCATCTTGTGATCTTCAAACCTGTTGTCTCCATGTTCAGTCAGTTCTTTGCCTTTTTGGATTCTATTTCAGAGTTTATTTTGTCCAACAATCATGTATGCTTCTTGCAATATATCTTGCGTATTGTCATTTTAATTCCTCACTCCTGTAAGAATTGAAAATAAAGTGTAAATGTTTTGGTACAGGCAGCACATGATTTTCAAAAACTTTTCTTTTGACAGATTAAGGCGATTTCTGCTTTCTCCCAAAAGCCCTCCAGTTCATTTTGACTCTGTTCTTTATTTCTACACATGGTTTTAATGAATAATTGATCCAGACATACATAGCAACTGGTGTCTTAAGGACCGATGGTGTTACTTTCGTTCACCTTAGGAGAAATTAATTTCTTACTTATCATCAGTATGCTTTTTTAAAGTTTATTTCGGCACTGATGACAGGTTAATCATATTTGCTTCATTGCAAATATAATCATGTTGTCATCAAGTCACAGATGATTTAAGTAGGTTTTATTAATCTTCAGTCCCCTGATTACACAAAACGGTGTCTAGAAACTCCTCTGACTGTAAAATGTTTGGAGTTTGTTTTGTAAGAGATTATAATAAAACAATGGAATTTTATGAGTGCTTTTCAAGTACTGCATAACACACACAGTAAACTGCCGAAGCAAAAATAAAGTGAAAGAAAAAGGTACAGCAAACTGACAGTTTCAATGAGTCTTGAAACTAAGAGTAAGAATAAATTACATATTAATATGAATGGGCTTCAAACAAAGTTTGAAAATGTTGTCAGCTGCTTATTCTCTTAAGGGGATTTAAGAAAGTAATTCCACAGATGCATTGATGCCTATGAGAAGGGTCTATTGCCCATTGTGTGAATCCAGAACTTCAGCAGACTAAGAAGGCCTAAGATTAAGATCAGATCTAAGATTAAGAGTTGAACTACATTCATGCAGAAAATCCTCCAGACAATCTGGAACAAGGCCCTTCAGTGCCTTATGTATGAATAGTAAAATTCACTCTAAATTGTACAGGATGCCAGTACAATTTACAAAGTTTTATGCTGATGAGTACTTTAAGTTTGCGCAATGGCCACTGAATTTGGGACATGGTGAATACTTTTGAGCACCATTGAAATATCCAGTAAGTCAGGTAGTGCTGTACTGTATGATTGATTATATGTAGGCATGTATTAATATTTTAGCATCAGACATCCAGACAGCAGAGCAACACTGGCAAATAGTTTGGCAAAGTTTTCCTTTTACAAAAAGAATGAAGCAAATTAGTGAATAACTGGATTAATACCATAGTGATACATTAGTGCAACAGACCTGAAAATCCCAGATGTTTAAACAAGCCATCTGTTATCTACAACGTTTACATCCATGTATCCAAGTATGATACGTTAATAAAAACTGATTCTGTCCAAGAGATAAAACAAAAAGGATTTTAGTGAGATACAACGGGCAAAAGTATTTGCAAACGTAAAAAAGATTCGCATAAAGGCTATGAGTTGCTTGTTTTTTTTTTAATTAAATAAAGGGATACCGGTATTCGGAGGGAGATGTATACATTTAGTACAAATATAAAATACAATTCTTTGCAAAACCAGAGAGTGTTTAGGTTTGCTTCTATGACGGCTTTATTACTGTATGCACCTATGATATCTCAGTTTGTCTGCGTGATTCAAAACCCATAATACTGTACGTCGAAGAAGAGAGGTACCAACGGTCCTCTCGGGAAAATCATGAACTGGGAGCCTTGTCATAATGCTTTTTGCGCCCTCTTATGGTTTGTACTGGGCTTTATTCTTCAGACGTGTTCATTTAATTGTTCGTTGAAATTATTTAAGTGTAATGTTGTTGAAAAAACGACCGAGGTATGGAGACGTCTTTTATAGAAATGAAACGGGTCACCAAATTGACTACGGACAACTTACTAATAACTGAAATATAAATGTTAACTGTTATAAAATACATTTTTGCAACCCATCTCGACACACAAATGCCACTGATCTGTGTTTTTAATTAAATTGTAAAAACCTTAAGGTGTCTCCTTGGGTTGTCATATAACTGCAATAAAAACAATTGGTTTCATTTCATTTTCATGTTCAAAGTTTGTATTAAAAATATTCTCTCTTCCATGCATTTCACAAGATGGGAAGTGTAGTTTTCACCTGATTCTTCAGGCGTTCTGTAATGCTTTTTTACACTTGACTACAGTTACCATGATTCCCCGCGACTTGCACATGCCCACAGATTCCAGCTAGAGCTACCTTGTATCTATTGTTTTGCTGGCATTTTGGATATTCGGTCTGGTTCGTTGGAATCTACTGAGAGCACCATGGCGGATGAGCAAGAGATTATGTGCAAATTAGAAAACATCAAAGAAATCAGGTAATAGATACACCCGCTAAGTAATTTCCTTTAAATGAGCGATTTTCGATTGTTCTAATTCATTGTATTTTTTTTATTTAGACACAAAAGTAGAAAGAGATTTTTTTCAAGACTGCATCTTGACGATTACACTTTTGACACAATTCTGTGTGCCAATGCAAATGATAAAAAAACATATTTAAGGACGGAATAGATGGTGTTGCATGTTTAATTATTCGAATCGTAGTTGCAATTTCTTTTATGGTCCGTTAATTATCATTGTCAGTGTGAGGCTTGAGCAGAGCAATTAAAAATAGAAATAACATCCGCTTTCAATTCTTTTATTTTTTCCCTGTGTTTAAGGAGATAAAAGTTACCATCATTGTAGCGTAACAATTTTTGTTAGCTACAACGACTGATGATGATTTTTAGAGGTTTTGAACTTCCCTGAGAAACGAATGCATATAAATCACAAAAGGATCACGACTTGATATGAATTTAAAAAATAAAGAAACGTGTTGTTTCGGTATCAAAATGACAGGCGCTCCGTAGAACGTTCTGCATGCGAAATTGTGAAAAACAATAGGACAGTTAACAGTTGCCATTGGCGACTTCCTGATGCAGTTATCTGCTCGTGAAAGAAACAATGGAGAGCGCACTTCAAGTGAAAGTAGCCCTTTCGGATGCAATCACCCGATTAGCAAAGGAATTAGCGTTTTGGAGGGTGAGAGGGGGGAATGTAATCATCGGTTATTATTATGCTCTTAGGAAATCTATATTAGTACTATATTAGTCTTCGTTTTTTAATGGAAAACATAGTGATTTTAAAGGCTTACACACATTCTAGCCTCTCCGTTTTACTTTAAATCCGTAAAATATTATATTTTTGTAATGTTTTATTCTGTCTCTAATATTCGTTCACTAAGCTTGAGGATGAGATCCTAATTCCAAGACCTGTACGTTACTAGAAATTCTAACGATGCTGTGCAAAGGTTAATAGTGACTATTTCCTTAACGTGTACTTTGCTTCGCATAACTTCGTTTATAATTTGATACAAGTAAAAATATGTTCTTTGGTAAAGGTTATGATCTTGTGCGAGTCTTTAAACACACGGAAATTAGTGCCCTTTTATATATGTTTCTCTCTGAAAATATATATTTTATTTCAGAAAGTTACTTTTACGATGCAATGCGTGATAATGGCAAGTTCTACAGTATATATTTATGTTCAGTGCAATGAGGATTTCACTCACTCCTGAACTATGATCCTCTAAATACAGACCAAGTTTTACTCACTTTTTGCAGTGAATGATGCATTTGTTGCATGAGTAACAAAGCCATAAATATTTATACGTAGTGCTGTATACTTTGCGTTTGTTTGGTATGGCAATAGTTATATGACTATGCAGAAATGAATTCCATTCCCACTTACTGTACAGTATGTTGACCCTCCTTCTGACTGGTCTGTATCCCAGCAGAGCTTCCTGTTATCTTATTGAGCCCTCAATTGAACTAATTATTTGATTAATTGGAGAACATTTTTGGTGATGTTCTTTGTTCTCACCAAAGTAAGTTTTCAAGTTACTTTGAGTTTTTTTGCAGGCACATTCAAAGTCTTTTACAGCTCCAGAAGTGGAGACAATTCAAAATAACGAATTAGTATGTTTTTCTTAAATTTGGGTTCGGAACTCTACTGGAGGAAAAACCTGTGGGTATCAGGATTCATAAGCACAAGTGGACTAAGAAGCCCTACTCTAAGTGAAATTGTGCTATACTATATAGAGGGCATTTCTTGTTGCGAGATTCCTTTGAAAAACTCAGTTTAGAGATATTGATTGCAAAGTAGGGTAGTACTGTACCTTACAGCTCTTGAGTCCTGAGTCTGACATCAAGATGAAGTTCCTTATGTGTTAAAATTTCTATATTTGTTATATTGCTCTCTGTGTGTTCCAGACTAGGCTTTAGTCCATTGTGACCTGCCAGATTTGTCCCACCAAGCCCTTTTATTCGGCCTGTGTGGTAGTTGTGGTGAGAGCACTTGCACAATTCAGGCCTGTATGCAAGAACTTCATGCACTTGGTGATGTTCAGTACCACACACACACAGTGCTCCCTGTGGTGCCCTATATCTGTCCAGTCATGGTGCCCCTTTTTGATTATGTCATTAATCAAGTTTAACAGGGGGGTGACTTTGCACAAAAATAGTGGGAAAAACATTATAAGACCTTTACAGATACTTCCTCCAAACCCTCCGTGTTTTGGACCAATCTCAGCAACTGAACCACCATAGGACTCATTGAAAGTGTATTCATAGGGTTTTTAAAGATTTGAAAATTATAATAAGGCCCTTGTAATTATGTTGTCAACAAAAGATAACGCTTACAAAAGTCACAAGTTTCAAGAGATGCGGAGAAATGTATGTTTCTTAATAGACGTGACTGGACATATATGCTCAAGTACAATGAGGATTGTACTACATGAGTTGTACAACAGATTGTTGTTGCAAAAGAGCGAAAGCAATAATAGAAAAAGTGAAGTGTTTTGGTTTTTCTATGATTCTGCATTTTTTGTGTTTATTTCCGTGTTAATTCCCAGTACCTTAAATGCAAATGCTCATGACTTGTTTGAAATAAGAATACTATTATATGTTTATGATAATGTGCCCCTAATACAGAATGAAGACAAAATATATAACGATATTAAATTGTTAAACATATACAGTCTCTCAGCTGCTCATCTTTTTAAGTCCTTTCTATCATTTCATATTTTACAGTCAGAGCGAAATGATTTCCTTCTTTTTTTTTGCTTTAGTAACACCTGAAGCATTAGATACATGTTTTGTCAAAATTATGTTAACAATAAGGAGGATCTTCAATAATACAAATCAACACATAAGCAAGACCTCAAAGCAAGTGGAGTACAAAGGGAACGGATTTTGTATAAATACAAAAATTGTATAGTACATGCATGTATATAGCTGCCATTTATGTTTGCCACTTATTAAATAATATGTCCTTACATATTTTTTGATAAACAATTGTTGTATACAGTATTGTTTTGTACAGTAGTGTTGCATACAGTACAATTGTGTTGTGTACAGTAATAACAATTACAGTGCCTTGCGAAAGTATTCGGCCCCCTTGAACTTTTCAACCTTTTGCCACATTTCAGGCTTCAAACATAAAGATATAAATTTTTTATTTTATGTGA